ATTGGGGGTCCGACTCCCTCTCCTCGGATGATGAGGAGGCAGTCTGAGCGAGTGGAGGAGGACTCCTGGAAGACGCCCTGCTATGGGATCCCGTCCTCAGTCGACTAGTCCCCGCAACATCGGACGTCGGCTGGGGCGGGCAGAAGACACCGCCCACTGTTCCGGGGCTGCAGCCAGGGCCAGCAAGAGCCCTGGAGCTACAGCCACTACCCCCGCCGTGGGAGGACCCTTTCCGACCACCTACCTCCGGGACAGAGAAATCCCCGGAGGGGTTACATAAGCAGCCCCCGGCTGTCATTAGGGCGTGGTGGAAGGCATGGCTGGACTTTCAAGATCTGACGCCAGAGATCGCCTCCGCCACGCCTGCGCCCGAGATGGCCTCAGCTACGCCTGTGCCCGAGATGGCTTCAGCTACGCCTGTGCCCGAGATGGCCTCAGCTACACCTGTGCCCGAGATGGCCTCAGTCACGCCAGCGCCCAAGATGGCTGCCGCCGTCACGCCAGCGCCAAAGAAGGCTGTTGCCGTCACGCCAGCGCCCAAGATGGCTGCCGCCGTCACGCCAGCGTCCACGATGGCTCCTGCCGTCCCGCCAGCGCCCAAGATGGCTGCCGTCGTCCCGCCAGCGCCCAAGATGGCTGCCGTCGTCACGCCCACGTCCACGATGGCTCCCGCCGTCACGCCCGCGCCCAAGATGGCTGTTGCCGTCACGCCAGCGCTCAAGATGGCTGCCGTCGTCGTCACCCCAGCGCCCAAGATGGCTGCCGTCGTCACGCCAGCGCCCAAGATGGCTGCCGCCGTCACGCCAGCGTCCACGATGGCTCCTGCCGTCCCGCCAGCGCCCAAGATGGCTGCCGTCGTCCCGCCAGCGCCCAAGATGGCTGCCGTCGTCCCGCCAGCGCCCAAGATGGCTGCCGTCGTCACGCCCACGTCCACGATGGCTCCCGCCGTCACGCCCGCGCCCAAGATGGCTGTTGCCGTCACGCCAGCGCTCAAGATGGCTGCCGTCGTCGTCCCGCCAGCGCCCAAGATGGCTGCCGCCGTCACGCCAGCGTCCACGATGGCCCCCGCCGTCACGCCAGCGTCCACGATGGCCCCCGCCGTCACGCCCGCGCCCAAGATGGCTGCCGCATCGCCGCCCACAATGGCTGCCGCATCGCCGCCCACAATGGCTGCCGCATCGCCGCCCACAATGGCTGCCGCATCGCCGCCCACAATGGCTGCCGCATCGCCGTCCACAATGGCTGCCGCATCGCCGCCCACGCCGCCCCACGAAGGCTCACGATGGCCGCCGCCACGCCGACGCTCACGATGGCCGCCGCCACGCGACGCCACGATGGCCGCCGCCACGACTACGCTCACGATGGCCGCCGCCACGACTACGCTCACGATGGCCGCCGCCACGACTACGCTCACGATGGCCGCCGCCACGCTACGCTCACGATGGCCGCCGCCACGACTACGCTCACGATGGCCGCCGCCACGCTGCGCTCACGATGGCCGCCGCCACGACTGCGCTCACGATGGCCGCCGCCACGACTGCGCTCACGATGGCCGCCGCCACGACTGCGCTCACGATGGCCGCCGCCACGACTACGCTCACGATGGCCGCCGCCACGACTACGCTCACGATGGCCGCCGCCACGACTACGCTCACGATGGCCGCCGCCACGACTACGCTCACGATGGCCGCCGCCACGACTACGCTCACGATGGCCGCCGCCACGACTACGCTCACGATGGCCGCCGCCACGACGACGCCACGATGGCCGCCGCCACGACGACGCTCACGATGGCCGCCGCCACGACTACGCTCACGAGGCCGCCGCCACGACTACGCTCACGATGGCCGCCGCCACGTCGCCAACGATGGCCTCAGCCACGTCGCCCACGATGGCCTCAGCCACGTCGCCCACGATGGCCTCCGCCACGTCGCCCACGATGGCCTCCGCCACGTCGCCAACGATGGCCTCAGCCACGTCGCCAACGATGGCCTCCGCCACGTCGCCCACGATGGCCGCCGCCACGACGCACCCTGCGCCGCTCAAACTGGCGGTCTCTCAGCCGCTCGAGATGGCGGTCGGCTACCGTGGCCTATTCAGGACTGGACCCGTCCTGATGGACTAACCCATTGGGTTTAACTGTGGGTTCTGTCTTGTTGCTCCCTTAGGGTTTTTGTTAGTTCGTTCGGCTATCTGGGGAGCTAGCCTTTTAGTGGGGGATACTGTCACGATTGGTGTGGTGGCGTTGCTACACTTCCATTTCGGTGATCCACTTCCGTGTTTTTGGTCTCACTAGCTGTGATTACTTCCTCTTTCACGTGGTCACAGCTGTTTGTAATCTGTCACTTTATGTCGGGATATAAAGGGGTCGCTAGCAAGTCACTCCTTGCTTAGCATTGTTTGTTTCTATGTCACGGAGTGAGTAGGGTGAGTGTTTGGTGGATAACTGTGTTTCGAACGGTATTGTTTAAGACGCTCTGTGCGCACTTTACTTTCGTTTAGCCAGTTAGCTTTTGTTCGCCGTTATCGGTTTGTTTTGAGTTCCTGTCCTTATTTAATAAACCTGATTGTTAAAACGGATCAACGACTCTGCACATGGCTTTGACAACACTACGCCGGAGCATCCGTGACAGCTGGTCAACCAAATTGTGAATAAAACTTCAATCAAATCGAGGATATCCCTTTTGAAGTCACCTAACCCATCATGGTATAATTTGGCCGTAATACCTCACATTACATCAGTGTCTGAACTTGACTGAACTAGCATGAATGTCGTACAAACTAAATCCCTCAGAGACATTTTGGTGCCCGGCTCTTCCTCCAACTATGTCTTTATCTTCTCTAGAGGGCACAATGACAGATTGCAATGCTTTGTATTGCTGAATTCTCCATGTCAACACAGCAGGACCAAACAATTGTTTATGGGATACTGGCTTAAACATCGCTTTCATCGAGGAGAACGTGATCCTTGTATAGTACATTTCATTCCAGGAGTCCATCCTATTGTAACCGCATATTGCTGTGTTGGATTGGATACTCCCGAACGAGAGGTTTGACCTCTGACAAACAAAGCAACAGATTTAAAGATCTGAAGTAATATCTGATAGGGCTGGTTAGGTTGGGCCGGGCCGCTCCAGACACGCTCTGTCCCATTCATACATTTATATGTCTCTGTTTCTCCCCTTCATTTCCCTTTATGTTACTACCTTTCTCTCCTGGATGTTGTTCCATATCACTTGTAATATTCATCCCTCCCCCGTTCCCTACAGCGTCCTCTCTGTCTGTCTCTCTCTCCTTCTCTGTCTGTCTTTCCCTCTCACTCTGTCTGTTTCTTCTGTCTGTTTCTCTCTCTCTCTCTGTCTGTTTCTCCCTCTCTGTCTGTCTCTCTCTCCATCTCTGTCTGTTTCTCTCCATCTCTGTCTGTTTCTTCTGTCTGTTTCTTCTGTCTGTTTCTCTCTCTCTCTGTCTGTCTCTCTCTCTCTCTCTGTCTGTTTCTCTCTCTCACTGTCTGTTTCTCTCTCCCTCTATGTCTGTTTCTCTCTCTCTGTCTGTTTCTCTCTCTCTCTCTGTCTGTTTCTCTCCCTCTGTCTGTTTCTCTCTCTCTCTCTCTCTCTCCGTCTATCTCCCTTCTATTGAGCCCCATTGATCATGCATGCAGAAACTCAGCACGCCCATCGCTCCAGTCAGTCAGGATAGGGCACTGGCCAGGCTCTGTCCTACATACTGTTCCCTCTCTCTCTCTCTCGCCACGCTCCAGCACTCCAGCCCCACAACCCCAGCACCCCACCACCACCCCCTGCCCAGCACTCAGTCCTCTCTCCGACAACCGTTTGACACACATACGGCCTGGCGACCGTGCATCCTGTAAGCCTGCGCACAAACGGCCGACAATCGTTATTCTGTGCGTGTGTTTGTGCTTTCAGTCCAGTCGGACACATTAAAGGGGGGGGCATTGTCAACAGAAATGTTCTTGGATGGAAGTGGATAGACTCTGGCCTGGAGTCTGTAGTCGCTGGAGTCCCCCGCTCTTCTGCTGTCCTCTCCCTTTGTCTCTGGTTCTTAGCGTTTTTGATGCATTAGACGTTGCCTATTTCAAAGGCAAAGGTTGCTTGCCATTACTTGTCTCTGTAATGCACACACACACACACACACACACACAGGCAGTAGGAAGTGGATAGCCTCATGTGCATCCTATTTCAGGATTCTACGCAATACAACTCCGCTCCACTGCGTCGTGCAATTTATATATTTATTTAACGTATTCGTCAAAAGTTTTCACCCGTGTATTAATCATAACTAACCGGCCGTAAATACCGTCGCTATAACACACTTAAAATGTGCCTCGCTCTGCGATATGAGTCGTCTTCAACCAGTGTGTTTAAAGTCCCTCAGGTGACCATCTTGGCCCAGCCGAGAGAGTAGCCTGCTTAGGGAAAAGCTGGTAATCTGCCACAGTTGGTTAAGACGGTCACATGCACTGCCTACAGTGTAGGGGGGCATGAATGCGACCGTGGTCGATAGAGAGAAGGGCTAAGCGGGTGTATGTCCCAAATACAACCCTAGTGCCTTTTCAGTGCACTATATTTCACCGGAGCTCAACGGGAGCTCTGCCTAATAGAGGGTACCATTTGGCACACGTCCTGAGAGACTTAAAAATCCAGCTATTTGCAGAGGGAGTCCGCCTTAGTGACCTGCTGCTGCGGCTGCTGAGAACAGGCATTCAGCTGACACCAAGTGATCAGAGGCTGGGTGCTGTGTACCGGGACCGGTGGAGCACAAAGGTTCCTGGACCCAATGCCTATCATAGTTTAGCTCAGCGGGAAACCCACAGTCCGGACTGTACCTCGCTGCCCCGGTTACACGGCCGTATGTTTCAGGAATTGTGAGGTGAAATGAAAATATCCGTGCCAGCCGGGTTGCCGATTGATCCGGATTTGATCCTATCATATTTATGACACCACTCCACTCTGTCTTCCATGCATCAGGGCGGTTGGTGGTTTTGTTTGAGGCTCATTTTGGTAAAGCATTGGACTTGCATTGCAAGGGTTGTGGGTTCGAATCCCACGGTAGGCCAGTACAAATAAGTATAACACTGTACGCACTCATGAATGTACGCCGCTATAAAAAGAGCGTCTGCCAAATGATATACATGTAAAATGTAATCTATGTTTTTTGGTAACGTGTTATACTGGTCTGTACTCGCATGAATCTCAGTTAAACGAGGCTACGAATAAGCTATAAAATGGCAGAGCAAGATGCTGATGGAGAAATTACTACGGTAAGTCATGACATTCCAAAGTTACTAGTAGAAGAAATTTGATTTGGGAAGCAATTGTGTACAATGTGAGATTGTGGTTTTAAGATAACTTCATATAGAAAATATATACAATTAAATCAGATCATAAACCCTAATTGGTGAGAAGTGTGGTGGTTATTTGCTCATCAGCAGTCGCGTGTAATGTCATAGTGCTGTTCAATACAGAGAACTACATGTTTCAAACCAACAAAATGTCCCTGGGGTCCATCAGATTCAACTGAATCTCCGTAACATAAAGGATGGACCCTTGGGCCACATTCCTCAATTTGAAAAATGGTCCATATGTCCTAAAAAGGTTTGAACCCTTGCATCTGAAGGTGTCTTTCAATCCTCCCTACCCTCAAATGTGGAGAGTCTATTCCACTAAGCCTTTAGTCAGCATACCATCTACTGATATTTTCTTCTAGAACAGACTTCCACTAACTTCCACTATGCACATCGTTGACCTTCGGCGGGGAAACACTGCAACCGAGCGCCACTCTGCTTGGTGCTTAGGAGGCGGGACGTGGTGAGGGGAGGGGCGAAGCGAGGTGGAGGCGGAGCCTGCTTCTGCGTGTGAGTGTGGTGTGTGTGTGTGTGTGTGTATCCGCCCGCGCGCACACACACCGCCTCGCTCGTCCCTCCTCTAGACAAACCACCCCACACACCCCCACCTCCACAGCCACCCGCCCCTGAGTCTGCAACTCGTCTGCGTTTCCTCACCTCGCAGTCGGGACTCGGGAACGGAGAAACGGAATGGATACGGAAGGGAGCCAGAGCAGCCTGTCCTCGGCGGACAACTCCCCCCACGACCCATGGTAAACCCCCGGCGGGCCGGCTAACTCGCGACTCGGTGTCGGTCGCTTCCAGGGAGCATGGTGGAGTTGTGTTTGTGTGCAGCGAGGAGACAAAAGACCAGCATGCGTGTTCTGATGCTCTGGGCTCTCCGGTGTGGGTCTCTCCTGGTCTCTCCGGTGTGGGTCTCTCCTGGTCTCTCCGGTGGGGTCCCTCCTGGTCTCTCCGGTGGGGTCCCTCCTGGTCTCTCCGGTGGGGTCAATCCTGGTCTCTCCGGTGGGGTCTCTCCTGGTCTGTCCGGTGGGGTCCCTCGCCCGCGCCGGACCACAGACCTCTTTTATTTCGCTCTTTTTTCTTTCTCAGATGGCTACGTTCCTAATAAGTTTCTCGCTTGATTTTGTAAACCACTCGGTTCAAGTGCTCTGTGTCGTGGGATTTATCGGCGACTGGACCGCTCGTGCTTCCACGACATGGCCGATTTCCCCCCGAGTCACTTCATTTTTGTGGTTTCGTGGGTTTTGCAAACATGCATTTTAATTGAACCAGGACTCTATGTTGTGTTACCGATCTTCACCACTCACTCTCTCGCCTCTATTTTTCCCATTCAGCAAAATGTTCATCGGGGGTCTCAGTTGGCAGACGACACAAGGTGAGCGGTCCCGGGTGCGACTGATCCAAGTCCAGATGTTGTTCTGATGTGTGAATTTTACTCTAATGAGAATGCAAATGCATATAATACATATGCAACACCCAGGGAAGTGATCAGAAAGACTTTATAGTTTTATATGGTGACCAAATCAAAGCCTTCATTCATTGAGTGTATCAGGAGTGTTGACCATTATTGAGACTGTGGAGGTCTGGATCAGATACCATGGGATTAAAATGGGTTTCATATCGGTATAAATTGGTTTCACATTGTGTGATGTGATGTTAGAGTTTGTCACCATACCTAATACTTTTCATTTATTTTGATCTGTGTGAGAGAAGCAGTGTTGCTTGGTTTTGCTTCCATGATTTTTGCAGTGCCGAAAGGTGTTTTTATTATATTATGTATTATATTATACTACCATAGGGTGGAATTAGACTATATATGCCACATGCATCCTATATCCAAAGGCTACTAACTTTATAGTATCAACACTGTTACATAAATAGGCATATTCCCGTATCAAATGTTAACATTCACTATCGATATATAGCCTATCGCCCTTGAGTTATATCGACCCATATCGTGTTTTCAATGACTCATGTCGCGTCATAAATAACAACGAGGTCCCGCTCTGTCGCGATATGTGTCGGGGGGTTTATCTATTATTATTATTGTTTTTAAACTATTTTCTGTATGAAGATTTTACAAACAATGTGCATCCGTGAAACGTCTTGAGCACATTGCAAATGTGTTTTTCCAGAGGGACTGAACGAGTACTTCTGTAAATTCGGAGAGGTGAAGGAGTGCATGGTGATGCGAGATCCAGTTACGAAAAGGTCGAGGTAAGGAGGAGGCGTGCGCACCTCCCCGTCCTATCATAGGAGTCGGATCACCATTGGCTTATTTAAGTGTTTTTATGGCCTGTCTGTGTGTTGTTATAATTCAGGGAATTGTTTTTTCCTCAGGGGGTTCGGTTTTGTCACTTACATGGACCAAACTGGTGTGGATAAAGTTTTGGCCCAAAACAGACATGAACTGGACTCTAAAACGGTGAGTTAATGTTTAAATGTGTGTACATACATGGGCTACTTTTATTTTCATAACACCAGTTTCCTTTTCTGATTGGGCGAATAGTCATATAGAATATATATATTTTTTATTATAGGACTTCACCACGGATAAAGTCAATCAAATGAGTTAACCCCTAAATATTAGAAAACGTTCTAGCATGTAGTAACCAGTAAAAACACTTTAATTTAGTATGACGTCAGTGGTTGTTCTAAAAACATTTTTTTTTTTTAAACTCGACATTTCAGCACCTCATGGAAAGACTGGGAGGCATGTCTAGTGCTTTGGGACAGTATTCAAAACATAAACTGAGTGCGAAAGGATTTTGTTTATTGCAAATCGCACGGCCACTCATGACGACCTGAGTCTGAGACAATGTAAAATGACAGAGATTGGACACTGGATACTGAGCAAACACGCTTGCTGTTATTCTTGTTTTTCTCCTGTGAGGAATTGATCCGTTTATTTCTTTTGAAATGTGACGGCACTGCCCACGTGATACAGGACATAGTACGCCCCAGTAAGAATGTTTGGGAGAGTTTATGGGAGCCTCCCCCCCTCCCACCAAACGCTGGTTTAGGGCGCGCGGCATAAAAGCGTTCTTTCTTGCTGTTCATCGCCATGGTTACCTGGGGACCTCAAGGAGGAGGCGGCTGTAGTTTTCTCTTGCACCAAAAGGACAGAGAAGAGTTTACATGGGAACATTTTGAAGCGTATTATGGGATTCTGATTGTGAACAGATGCCTCTGGGACATCATGGTAGAGTCTTGTGTTTAAACACAAAACCGCCACGAACACGTTTTACGTGACTAGACGCACAGAGGTCAAAGGTAGCTTTTATGCCAGGACACCTGGAATTGTTTGAACACTTGCCTGTTGTTGAAAACCAACACACAGATGAGTGCTGCCAATATCGACATTGGGGTGACTAGAAGAGCTGTGAACGTGCGACTGCGCTGGTCGTTCTCAGAATGGAATAACACTGCACAGTTAAACACGAGAGGGAAAGTCTTGACAGCATGTTTGGTTTCACGAAGTCCTTCTGTTGCCCCGGGTGATATCTGTCACATGGGACGGTTTGATGACTTCATGACCTAGAGGGACTTCGGTCTCCATAACAACCTCCTTTTAGCATTTGAACATGAATGCCGCATGTACTGACACCAACAATGCAACAAAGTCTACCTGAGGACAATAGCCACCGTGACATGGAACTGGTCGTATTGTATGTTGTCTAAAGTTTTCAGTTGCCGTTTCACCGAGCGAACGCTTCGTCCAATTACAGGTTATGCCCTGAATTTTATTAGAACGTTCCCCAAAGAACCAAGGAAATGCACTCGTGTATACAATGCCTGTAAGACACTGCACAGAATTAGCTCACATATAAATAGATCGTCTAATGACTATCTAATAATTTTGAATGCCTGATTCATTTGGTATTGTGCTATTGTGTGAGCCTGTCGGCGTTTTACACATCAGATCTGGTTTTAAACGTGTGACTTGGGTGTCCTTGTCTAATGTGAGCGATGCCTGTCGCCCGTTTCACTCCTTTTCAACTTCTCAGGTTTATTCATGTTTGGTTTGAATTTCTCAATCACTCTTAGCTTTGTGTCAGTGTGGTTACTCGGCCCAGTCTTTGTACCAGCTGCACAATGTCCTCTCGTGTCCCTGTACGCGTTCTCCCCTCCGATAATCTTCCTCGCTCCCTAGTGGATCGCTGTTGTTTCACCAGCATGAGATGAGAAAGAAATTCCTTTCGGGAACGAGAAAGAGAGTCCCCCGCTTTTATTTGACAGTTTTTTTCCTACGCTCACCTCGTGGAGTGTGAGAGAGTGGACAAGGTGAATGAGACGGGGTTGGCACTGAGATCGGGGGCAAGTGAAAGTACTGTGAAATGGAGCGCGGGACAAAACTCCTGCCTCTGTAGAGACGATGAGGGAGGGAAATTAAAAACGTATAAGTGCGCGGTTGATTTTCTATTGAAGAAAGATACAGCGCACCTTAATCACATGCGTTCATGGCCTGTGTGTGAGAAGGTAGCAGAAACGTAATTTGAATCACGCCAAGAGAGGATATGCCAGAGAACGCACGCTATTCTGCCGCTCCGATGTAATGCAACACGAGTGTTGTTGTCGACAATGAGAGTTTTGACCAACGTACGAGTTCTTTACGAGAGTCAGACGGAGGACGTTTTGGCACAGATACAGGGATACACTTGCTGTGCTGCGTCAGAGGTCTCTGCCAACGGGCACTAGAGTCAAGTAGAG